ACGCGCACGGCGGTCTCGGGCAGCGGCTGTGTGTGTGTGTGTGAGTACCCAGGTGTATCCCAGGTGTATCCCAGGTGTGCCCAGGTGTGCCCAGGTGTGCCCAGGTGTGCCATACCTTGAGGAAGCGGCGGAAGACGCGCACGGCGGTCTCGGGCAGCGGCTGTGTGTGTGTGTGTGTGAGTACCCAGGTGTGCCCAGGTGTGTCCAGTTGTGCCCAGCCGTGCCCAGGTGTGCCCAGGTGTGTGCCATACCTTGAGGAAGCGGCGGAAGACGCGCACGGCGGTCTCGGGCAGCGGGTGCCGCCGCACGAAGCTCAGGTATGGCGGCCAGAGGCGCCGGTGCTGCGTCACGGGCAGCGCCCGCAGCGCCCGGTCGAAGGCGCGGCGCGTCCGCGTCACCCGGCCCTGCTCGGCCAGGAAGTGGCAGTAATCCAGCCAGATCCGCGGCATCTGCACAGGGGACGTGGGGACATGGGGACAGTGAGGGGACAGTGAGGGGACAGTGAGGGGACAGTGAGGGGACATCGGGGACATCGGGGAGATTGGGGACACTGGGGACAGTGGGGACAGTGGGGACACTGGGGACACTGGGGACACTGGGGACACTGGGGACAGGAAGTGGCAGTAATCCAGCCAGATCCGCGGCATCTGCACAGGGGACGTGGGGACAGTGAGGGGACATCGGGGACACTGGGGGAATTGGGGATACTGGGGACACTGGGGACATCATTGGGGACAGGGGACAGTGAGGGGACATCAAAGGGACATTGGGGACACTGCGGACATTGGGGGGATTGGGGACATGGGGGACATTGGGGACATTGGGGACAGTGGGGACACTGGGCGGATTGGGGACCCATGTCCCCAGGTGTCCCCAGCTGTGTCCCCATGTCCCCACGTGTCCCCATGTCCCAGGTGTCCCCCATGTCCCCAGGTGTCCCCAGGTGTCCCCAGGTGTCCCCCATGTCCCAGGTGTCCCCAGGTGTCCCCAGGTGTCCCCATGTCCCAGGTGTCCCCCATGTCCCAGGTGTCCCCCATGTCCCAGGTGTCCCCCGGTGTCCCCCATGTCCCAGGTGTCCCCATGTCCCAGGTGTCCCCAATGTCCCAGGTGTTCCCCATGTCCCCAGGTGTCCCCCATGTCCCCATGTCCCAGGTGTCCCCAATGTCCCAGGTGTTCCCATGTCCTAGGTGTCCCCAATGTCCCCAGGTGTCCCCAGGTGTCCCCAGGTGTCCCCCATGTCCCCAGGTGTCCCCAGGTGTCCCCATGTCCCCATGTCCCCAGGTGTTCCCATGTCCCAGGTGTCCCAGGTGTCCCCCATGTCCCCAGGTGTCCCCATGTCCCAGGTGTCCCCAGGTGTCCCCCATGTCCCCAGGTGTCCCCATGTCCCCATGTCCCCAGGTGTCCCCAGGTGTCCCCATGTCCCAGGTGTCCCCAGGTGTCCCAGGTGTCCCCTCTCACCTTGTGCATGAACACCAGCGCCCTCTCGTGGACGGCGTTGGCCTCCTCGAAGGCCGGGTCCGAGGGGCAGCGACCTTTGACCTGTGCCCGCCGCTGCCGCAGGTACTGGTACCACAGCTTGTAGCTGGGGAGAGGGCACAGCTGGCACAGCTGGCACAGCTGGCAC